CATCCATCCATCCATCCATCCATCCATCCATCCATCCATCCATCCATCCATCCATCCATCCATCTATCCATCTGCTGCTACTCCATTAACTGTAGTCAGTAGGGCTATGAAATCACTGTGGGAAAACATCAGAAGAAGGAGGAACTGAATGTTAGAAAGACTGACCTGAGAAATAAGATCTTTGCTATTTTTAGACCTTGGTAAAGAAACACGAATAGATTGGTTGGAAAAAAATTTATCTAGTTGGTTACACCAGTTTTGGTTAGATTAACCAATATCTTGGTCAGAAACTGATCAAGCCATTGGTTTTGGTTAACCAAACAACCAATACAAATAGTAATGGATGGTTTACTAATCGGACTGTTGGCTGTAGTGAACTGTAGTGTGCAATAGTTATGGACCTAGACAAAAATTACAGTGATGTGCTCTTATACAGCATGCTAATCTCAGCATTAACCTTGGTTGTACTGTTGTATTAAATTCCCTGACTTCTTAGCGTTGACAGTTGAGGATTTTTAAAATTTGCATTGGTTTGCCCTTTTCACAATATAGATTGGTTAAAAACACTACCAAATTGGATTGGGTGTTACAACCAAAGGATTGGTTGGACACATAACTACTAACCAGATTGGTTAAATCAACAAATTTACTGGTTGTGTAGTGTGAGTGAAGTGCCTCCTGAGGCGCAGTTTGACCACTGCTAAAACCAATGAGCCTATGTGCAGTAGGTTTGAATTCATTATCCTTGAGATGCTTTGTGAAGATAATGTTAAGAGTATCCACAATTTAAAAAGTCAACGTTGATGGCTAAAGATTCAAGCCAAAAACAAGGCAACATAGAAAGAAGTAAGCCAAAAGGATTTATCTGGAAAGCAAATACTGAATACAAATAGATGCCCATATCTACGGTCCTCCAAGCCTTACCTGCCCGACTACAAGAGTACACAAAGAAGAAATACAGTATTAGTTTTAGTTCAGAAAGTGTTTTTTGTGAGATTAATTTCCCCATAATGAGAAGATTAGAGCATAGGTCATGTTACTCCTGAAAGAAAACCTGTTTGAGGTTGCAAGTACATCAGACAGGGATGAGGGTTCACCCTCTACTGGCAACTTGGCCTTAAACATATAACAGAAGTTCATTGTACATTTATGTGGTAAAACACCCTAATTAAAACCCAGGGATAAGTTTAACTTAGAATCTTAAAAAATAATTTCATACTGAAACTCACCTTAACTGAGGCTGGACTCTACATGTAACAGCTGGTAAAGACTGGCATCTGCGATTGCAGCTAAAGGTTGTACACTTTTCTTTTTACCTCCCAACCAAATACTTTCCTTTAATCTATTATATAAATCCAAATATTCTTTATAACATGACAAATGAATGTGGAAACCTTTAAATGACATATTTGCATAAGCCACTGTATAAAAGCTCCATAGACATGGCACATGACGGCATGGGGAAAATTGGAGATTTTAGGTGCATCTGAGATGAAAGGTCGCAGCTTGAGAAGTGGATTGTAATGGAAGGATTAGTAGGTTTTATTTTAAGCTTAACATTGTCTTCCAAAAAAAGAGTGATGAAGAGGAGATGAGTCGCAGTTTAAAAGGGATAAAAGAGGGAGAGAGGTATCAAGAGAAATAAGGACAAAAAAAAAGATGGTTTCCATGTTGTCTCGTGATTGTGTCTTTCTGTCAGTAAATCCCATGTCAACACTGTGTGGCTGTTGGAGAGAACTCAATAACAAACAGGCAGACCGAGGTAGATCAGAGATTCTAATTGTTTTCATTTATAAGAAAGAAAAATCACAAAAAAATCACAATAAGGGCAAAATTACCAACAGAGACACCATAGCATGACAAACAAAAACAGAGGGAATGAAATAACCAATAAGAGTGGCATGCTGCAGGTATAAACTGCTTAGGGTAGGTAAAATAAAAACATAATTGGGCCTGAAGAGAAGAACATAACCTAACCAAGAATATTAACAAAAGACTTCTCATGAATAACTCGAGTCATGACTATAGAAATGCCCAAACATAAAATTATTCTAACAGGAAAGAGCAATTAGAACAGGATTTATATGGCATTACCCAAATGACAAAGCTATGGCAAAACCTAAAACAGGATCATGACATCACGATTTGATCTGATTCTTTTTATTTCACACACCACTTGCAATGTCTGTGATGCAATAATCTTTTTTGTTTGTGTTAAGAGGACATGATTGAATTAATTACATTTTCCAAAGTTCTCTTTGGGTTTTTGCCTTAAAGGGAAATGCCTTTTTTTTTTTTTTTTTACATTGGGCCCTTAATTTTACGTTATTACATCATGTTCCACTCACCCATATTAGTTTTTTTTATCATTTGGAGCTGCTCTGAAGATATTCCGTTAGGTTATATCCAAATAACGCGCGGATGACGTCATACACACTCTGCTTTGTTTTTAAAAGATATAAATATAAAAAAATATACCGCCGATATCACACCCTGGACAGGTCACCAGTCTATTGCAGGGTAACAGAAACACAGAGGAAATAAAACCAAACACACTCACACCTAAAAGCAATATACAATTTTGACTGTAGGAGGAAGGCGGAGTACCTGGAGAAAATCAAGACAAAAACAAAGAGAACATGGATGAATCCTTCTGCACTCCATGCAGAATGATTCAAACTCAGGACCTTCTTGTTGCAAAGAAACAGTGTCACCATGCAGTCCTTTTTCCTCTCTTCTGTTGCCTTTTTCTAACTTGGGTGTTCAAGAATAAACAGACATAAAGATCTTTAGACACTTCTAATTAAGACTTTTGTGAAAAGTAGACAATAATATTGTTAAATTTAAGGAAAACTAATTATATTGCAGCACTAATACAATTTTTAAAACTTGTAGGATTAAATAAAGTAAAAAAATGTCTTAAACAGATGATACTAAGAGCAATAGGTTCTCTTCAAGCAGGTTTGGTTTAAATTGGGTTAATCTGCATACTAAGAGAGGGATTTTTTTCGTTAAACAGACAATCTAATATATAAAGTTAACTGCTTATTTACGCAGCTTTTGCACTTGAGTTAATTTGAGATTTATCAACTTAGCAGCTTTGTATTTTAACATCTCAGCTTAAAGGAAAAGTCCAGTCAGCAAGGAATAATCGATGAATCATTATTTATACCTAGAGCTAATACGTTTGCAGTGATGTAATAAATTTAGCGTTAATCGGTAAAAAAAAAAATATATATATATTTTCGTCGTGATCAATGAGTCCAGGACCGGCCATTTTTGCCCTAATATAGTAAATATAGTAAGACATCACTCCTGACATCTTCCGCCTAGCACCATTTGCTTTACAAGCAAAATCAATGGGAACTATTATACACACATGCAATCAACAACAATTATTTAAGATTTCAGGAGGACTTCACCATTGAAATTCGCAAGTGAAAAGAAACTTAGTTATTTCACCTTTCCGATTAATGATCCTCCACGGACGGGTTACTGCGGTCCTGGTCATTGGATTGCCAACTTGAAGAGGGAGGATTTGCCATCAAACATCTGGCCAGAGAAAAAAACATCATATGTAGCCGAAATTTAAAAAAAGACGGTTTTCAAGATGACATGGATAATAGCGCGTTGCGACAAACACCTGATACAGCATTGGGACTTGCTCAACAGCCGATACCGCACCGTGACATCAAAAACCAGTAGGTGGCAGTAGTGTTATTTGACAAACATGGATGCCTCCAGTAAAGCACATTCAAATGAAAATTGCTCTTAATTAAAAACACTTTTCAGTTATTGAACAGAATGTAATAATTTCATATTTAAAGTATTTTTAATAGTTTGAATTTTGAATGTGTTCGGACTTTTCCTTTAATAGATCCTATTATTTAAACTTTAATGTTAAAAATTCCCAACCAACCAAACTAATTTCACATATTTATGTATGTCTCTCTTAAGTGCTGATTTAATTTGAAAATGAAATGAAACCAAGAGAGAGGCAGAAGATTAACATGCTGTCAAACTTTTATTGCCTGTCCAAGCTAATTACAAAATGTAAAAAAAAAATCATTTTGTTTAAATTGAAAAAATGCCATGTTAGATGATATCAACAGTCTTGAGTTTTACAAGGTAATGCTGTTAAACTTGGTGCTGTTTTGCCAAACTGAACAACTTCAGCATAGCTTTGAGGAGCCAGCATCAGTCGAGCTCCTGCAGATGTATCTTTTCAAACACACTAAAGTGTTGTTGCATCATTTTCCTGCATGTGAAGATAATTGTTGCAGATGATAACTTTATAAAA